TCCCGATGCTGCACTCCCCCTCCTTCTGCTCGCTGCCGCACTCCCCAGTCCCGATGCTGCACTCCCCCTCCTCTAATGGAGGGGAGGGGGATGGCGGTGGTGGATTGGGGAGCTTCTCGCCGCCACCCAGGCCCCTTGTTTCAGATACCGCTTCAGCCGTGGGTCTTGTGTGTGCGACGAGGAACGGCCGGATATGTGGCGCGACTTCGCACACGCGCACGCAGGATCGCCTCTCTGACCGCATCCACCACCCTGGTTTCGCTATATACATACCCCGAGCCCCAAGGATAAAACGGCGTCATCGGCCTCCACATTCCGATCCTCGTCATCGACCACCACATTCCGATCCTCGTCAGCGGCCACCAAATCCGATCCTCGTCAGCGGCCACCACATTCTGACCCTCGTCATCGGCGTCATCGCCACCACATTCCGATCCTCGTCATCGGCGACATCGGCCACCACATTCCGATCCTCGTCATCGGCGTCCACGCCTATCCGATGTTGCCGCGTTCTCAAAGCCGTTGAAATATAGGAGCATCACCAAGAACACGTCGAGGCCGGCAAGCAAGTCCTTCTGCTCGTGCCGCCTTGATAGCGTCGACCTTGACCATCAACACGACGTCCTGCAATCCCGGCAGGTGGTCGGGACACGGCAAAGCGTCTAGCTGCACCCCGCCCAGTGCAGCAGTGGCGCCGGCTGCCATTCTCGGTCGCGCCAGCTAGCGTCTGTTTGCCCCCCCCCCCCCGCCCCGTAGTCGGTTTTGCCTGCCGCTCCCACCGCCCCCGCTGGTTGCGCCGTTGCCAACGCGCACCCTCCCTGCCGCGGCGGACGCAAGTCCTGGGATCCGAGTTGCTGCGCGGCCCGGTTGCCGCCTGTACATTGGTCGTGTCCAGGGTGCTCTCCAGATCCTGAGAGCGTTCGCAGTGGACGCTCTCTTTACTGTGCTGTAGGAGAGCCCCGAGAGCCGTCCACACCTCCGTCCGGGCCCCTCCTCCACACGACGAGGGGAGAGTTCGTCGGAGCTGGAACACACGGACGAGCACAAGTCGACCTCGGCCTGATCCTCCTCGTGACGTGGGAAACACATGGGGGGGTTAAGCCTCTGCGATGCACGTGCAAATCTTCGTCAACGACGAGAAAATGTAAAAAGCGTGTGGACCAGAGCTCAGAGGCAAGGATTTGCGACGCGCACTCACGTGATGAATCATCCGAGATTGTGTACGCAAGCGGGGAAGGCGGCGTATGCTCCGTCATGTCGCAACGAACGTCGTTGCGCTTTGGACACGGGATCCCCATTGGACAAGCGGTGTTAGCGGGAGCGCCTGGGGCATCGTGCAACTTATGGTGCGTTTTCGCGAGAGTGTGCGCTCTACTCGCATCCAGGGACCTTCGCTGCTCCGTGTCGCGTCTCTGGGCATCAGACGTTCCGGTTGCCCCCACACGTCTCCATACCGTCGCTGTGATTCGTCTAGCTTTCGCAGGTTCCGGACCCGTAGCGAAATCTATCTGGCGGGATGCTGTAGATAACCCAAGAGAAGATGACGAGAGCTATGCCTGGCGTGCAAAATAGGGTAAAGGAAAAGTGGGATGGTGAAGGAGCAAGGAAGGTGTCTCACGTGTAAAGTTAAAAAGGTAAAAGGGGGAGGTTTTTGGGCTGTCGAGATTGAGTTTTCTAAATCACGACGACTTAAAAAATAACCGGGTCCGGGCCGGGCACGTGTTCAATTCAACAATCATTTCCTTGGCTCGTAGACTGACAGGACTGTCAGATATGATGGTGTCAGTGTTGTCAGGTTTTGAATGTGTTGGCGGGTTTGGAAAGTGCTCGCCAGACATGCGCGGTCGCGCGCGCGACAAGTGGTGCAACAAGGCGTTGTCGCATCACAGACGAACATTTTGCCAGAGTTCGAACTGACTCGGTCGCGGATTCGCCCGTGATTTATTCTCAAACAGTAAAACACGGCGAATCCGCGACCGAGTCAGTTCGAACTCTGGCAAAATGTTCGTCTGTGATGCGACTACGCCTTGTTGCACTACTTGTCGCGCGCGCGACCGCCCATGTCCTGGCGAGCACTTTCCAAACCCGCCAACAACTTCAAAACTCCTCAACACTGACACCATCGTATCTAACAGTCCTGTCAGTCTACGAGCCAAGAAGGATTGTTGAATTGAACACGTGCCCAGCCCGGACCCGATTATTTTTTAAGTCGTCGTTATTTACAAAACTCAATCTCGACAGTCTCAAAAACCTCCTCCTTTTATCTTTTTAGTTCCACACGTGAGACGCCTTCCTTGCTCCTTCACCATCGCGCTTCTCCTTTACCCTATTTCGCACGTCAGGCATAGCTCTCGTCATTTTCTCTTGGGGTTATCTACAACATCCCGCCAGATAGATTTCGCTACGGGTCCGGAACCTGCGAAAGCTAGACGAATCACCGCGACGGTATGGAGACGTGTGGGGCAACCGGAACGTCTGATGCCCAGAGACCGGCGCGGAGGCAGCGAAGGCCCCTTGGATGCGAGTAGAGCGCACGCTCTCGCTGAAAACGCACCATAAGCTGCACAATGCCCCAGGCGCTCCCGCTCACACCGCTTGTCTAATGGGGATCCCGTGTCCAAAGCGCAACGACGTTCGTTGCGACACGACGGAGCATACGCCAGCCTTCCCCGCTTGCGTACACAATCTCGGACGATTCATCACGTGAGTGCGCGTCGCGAATCTCGCCCCTCAGCTCTGTACACACGCTTTTCACATTTTCTTGATCGTTGCCGAGGTTTTGTACGTGGCATCGCAGAGGCTTAAAACCCCCCGTATGTTTCCCACGTCACAGAGGAGGATTTGGCTGAGGTTGACTTGTGCTCGTCCGTGTGTTCCAGCTCCGACAAACTCTCCCCTCGTCGTGTGGAGGAGGGCCCAGACGGAGGTGTGGACGGCTTCGGGGCTCTCCTCAGCGCAGTAAAGAGAGCGTCCATCGAACGCTCTCAGGAGCTGGAGAGCACCCTAGACACGACCAACGTACGGGCGGCGATCGGGCCGGGCAGCGACTCGGATCCCAGGACTTGCGTCCGCCGCGCAGGAGGGTGCGCGTTGGCAACGGCGCAACCAGCGGGGCGGTGGGAGCGGCAGGCAGAACCGACTACGGGGCGGGGGGTGCAGCAGACGCTGGCGCGACGGGAATGGCAGCCGGCGCCGCTGCTGCATGTGGGCGGGGTGCAGCTAGACGCTTTGCTCGTGTCCCGGCCACCTGGCCGGGATTGCGAAACGTTGTGCTAATGGCTAAGGTCGACGCTATCGTGGCTGAACTGAAGGACTTGCGTGCCGGTCTCGACGAGTTCTTGGTGATGCTCCCATATTTCAACGGCTTTGAGAACGCGGCAACATCGGACGGCGTCGACGCCGATGACGAGGATTGGAATGTGGTGGCCGATGACGCCGATGACGAGGATCGAAATGTGGTGGCCGATGACGCCGATGACGAGGGTCAGAATGTGGTGGCCGTGGTGGCCGATGACGAGGATCGGAATGTGGTGGCCGATGACGAGGATCGGAATGTGCTGGCCGATGACGAGGATCGGAATGTGGTGGCCAATGACGCCGTTTTTATCCCTTGGGGTTCGGGGTATTGTATACAGCGAAACCAGGGTGGTGGATGCGGTCAGAGAGGCGATCCTGCGTGCGTGCTGCGAAGTCGCGCCACATATCCGGCCGTTCCTCGTCGCACACACAAGACCCACGGCTGAAGCGGTATCTGAAACAAGGAGCCTGGGTGGCGAGAAGCTCCCAATCCGCCACCTCCATCCCCCTCCCCTCCATTAGAGGAGGGGGAGTGCAGCATCGGGACTGGGGAGTGCAGCAGCGAGCAGAAGGAGGGGGAGTGCAGCATCGGGACTGGGGAGTGCATCAACGAGCAGAAGGAGGGGGAGTGCAGCAGCGAGCAGGAGAGGGAGTGCAGCAGCGGGCAGAAGAGGGGGGGGTGCAGCAGCGAGCAGAAGGAGGGGGAGTGAAGCGGCGAGCAGAAGGAAGGGGGGTGCAGCGGCGAGCAGAAGGAGGGGGAGTGCAGCGGCGAGCAGGAGGAGGGGGGGTGCAGCAGCGAGCCGGCTCTGGAGAGTTGCAGGAAGCCGGCTCTGGAGAGGTGCGGAATGCCGAAGGTGCGGTTTGGAGTTGCCGGTGACCAGTAGCTGGATAGGGAGGTTCTGCAGCAGGAGGAGACCGCGGTCTCGCAGCCTCGCAGCGATCCTCAACGCCACTGCTCCCGCTGCTCCCGCGGTACGAGGTGCCGTTGCTTTCACCACAGCTGCCACTAGCTTGAAACAGGGCTACGGCGCTGCCGCACGGCGCGGCTGATCGGACCGGCCATGGCGACTAGGGAGAGCTGCGCCGTAGCGAAGAGATATGTTAAGAGAGTCTCGTAGTGGAATAGAAGAAACTAGGCTGCCCTAGTAGAGACGTGATGATAGAGTTGTTGAGAGAAGAAGCAAGAAAGAGGTTCTTGGATTATAATAGAAGATCCTGATGATACAATTAAGAAACAATGAAGATATTTATGCTAGAAAGTAGGAAGGCGATTCGGATGGGAAATACCGTGTCGCCACGCGTCTAGCATGGCATCTTGGCATAGCGCCTCTGTTGGACTGTAGTACCTTCTAGTAGGTTGACAAGGATACGAGAGTATGCTCTGAGGTTGGCACATATCCCTATTCGGTAGCTTAACGATGTAGTGGGGAATCTCAACTTGTAACATAATTCCCCTCCCCAAAAAGCATCGTCCTGATACTTACCCATGCTAACTATCCACAGGTCAAATCCAGAGCATACAACAAGCATCCAAGCTTCATAGAGGTCTAAATCCGAAAATATTTACAAGATAACCTTGGTCTTCTCTTGGTCTTCACTCTTCTTGAAGCTTCAGGGATGTTTATGACACAAGTAGAGGGGGTACACATACAGCTGCAGCCCATACTACAGCCCTTGCGGTCACGCCAACTTCTATCCATTGGGTGGGAAGACCCTATAAAGTCAATCCGTGTGCACAGTGTCAACCAAGCCCATGCCTTCACAGCTATGGCGCTTCTCATTGAGCACAACAACCCATATTAAGCTTGCCTCAACGCTGGTGCCTTCAGCACGTCCAGCAATACCGCCAAATATGCCTAGATGGTAGGACCGAGGAGGTTTTATGTGGTGCTTCTACGACTGTTGTTGATGGTGTGACGGATATGCGCAACAAAAGCAACGCAGAGAAAATACATTTTTTCTTCTCTTGAGACAACAGAAGAGAGGGAGGGAGTCTTTTTGTCTAGTACTTCAACCCGGGGGCTATGTCCTGGAGCTCATTACTCAGTTCGTAGTTAGCTATTTAGAGAAGAAATGGCTAACTATGAACTAAGTAATAAGCTTGGGAGTTTGACTCTTTGACTTACGTACTAGCAAAAGGCGCTTTCCCTCTCTTCCCACTATCTTAAGAGAAGGAAACACTTAATTCCTCTACATTGATTTTGTTGGACATTTCTGTCACAACATCGCCAACGGTCGTAGATGCACCAAATGTAACCTCTTATCAACTAAACGGATCCACAACGCCGAGCCTACATCTAGAGAGGCGCTCAAGTTGTTCCACTCTTACCGATGAGGACAGCCAGTTGCATTGTAGAGGGCGCAGGCAAACGCGCTCTGCGCCAAGGGCCTGGCGGCCTTCGAGGCCGAGGCTCCCAGCCTTTCAGTTCGAGTCACTCGGGGCTGGTGATCTCCTACACGTGCTCGAGCCCGAGCTCGAGCTGTCTTAGGTTAGGTCCCTGCCATGCTTGTGTGCCTCACTGTCGTTCTTGACGTATCGTGCTGTAAAAACCGGCTCTAATTAGTGAAGGACCATACGAGAGAGTACGCATGAGTGTGCAGGCATGTGATGCATGTATGAGAGAGAGAGGCAGAGGGTGAACATGGGCATGAGACATGAGGAGACTAGGGATGGGCATAAAACCGGGCTGGGCCCGGCCCGTGTCGGGCCGGCCCGGAATTGCCACGGGCCGGGCCCCAGATTTTGGGGTTAGACCCGTTGCGGGCCGGGCCGGAGGTAGCCCGACATTGGCCCGTCATTTTCGGGCAGGGCCGGGCCAGCCCGGGTCGAAGCGCGGCCCGAGTCGGGCTCGTAGGGCTAGGTTTTGACCCCCTCGACAAATTGTCGAGGTGGTTGAAAATGAGTTGCGTCCTAATTTCGCAGCTCATTTTCAATCGTACCCACAGTATGCCTCTACCGTTCCTTACCGCGACATATTTCGACCTGCACTTTCCCGATTTAGTAGCTTAGGACCCTACACGTCTAAACTAGCTCTAGCGGTTGACGTCATGGGCGACTAAGGCATTTGCGTAATAGTCGCGACAATTTCTAGTGGTGTTTGAGTCAATCGAAATCTGCCGCGCTTCACACTCGAACACTCCTTTTTAGGGTTTCTTTCCGCCCTTACGATTACATAGAAATTTGACCGTTGGAAATTGATAGTTACATTAGGTCTTCTTGAACATCTACGTCTAGGCTTCTTATTAGGGTTCGTCATAGCTTTTCCGTCAACCACTTCTGCAGAACAGAAAATCCAGTACGCATTCTCTACTAATTATTTTTCAACAACCCACAACTGGTAGTAACTTATGGCGCCTAAGAAAAATGTTCGGAAGGGAGCTGCGAAGCAAGCAACTGTCGATGGTGGACCGCTGTTCGCCGGATTAGGGAAGGGGCTAATCATGATTCCGCAGCAGGATGAAGGCTTCCAAGTTGAGGGACAGCTGCGGCAGGGGGTGCGAGTGACTGTAGGAGGCGGAGGGGTTGGAGGTGAAGGGGGGGACGGCGATGATGGTTCCTCATCATCTAGTTTTTCAAGTAGTGACTCTGGAGAGGGAAGCGAATCGGAGTACGAGGAGGAGGAGGGGGATGGCGCGAAGGATGACGAGGAAATGGAGGATGTGGAGGAGGAGGGAGGAGAGAGGAGGAGGAGGAGGAGGAGGAGGAGGAGGAGGAGGAGGAGAGGAGGGGAGGAGGAGGAGGAGGAGGAGGAGGAGGAGGAGGAGGAGGGGAGTCCTCTGAGGGCGGGGAAGGAGGGAACGCGTGGTGGTGCGGGGGGGTGGGGAAAAAGCGCAAGAGTACGAAGGGGGGTAGTGGGACGGGAGGGAAAGAGAAGGGGACAAGGAAGCGGGCGGGGTGCGGGAGGGGCAAGTGAAAAAGAAGGGGAAAGAAGAGGAAGCCGGTGGCAAAGACATGGGTTAAGTACACCGTATGTGAAGATGTTCGGGCCCGGAGGATAAGAACGGGTCACGCAAGTGCAAGTGCTGCGACACATGGATCTCATTCAAGCAGAGGCAGCACACACTCTGGGGTCGGCACTATAAAGGGCAGCACAACGCGCACTACGCCATTTGGAAGCGGTTGTATGAGGGTGGCCTCGTCCCTTCTGACGCTACATTCCCTGAGGGCGGTTACCGCGGGGTGCCCCACGGTCGGCAAGCCCTGGCCTTATGCGGACGCGTAACCCGAATGTCCCCCCTGAGGCTCTTGAGGGACAGGCACTTGGTGGCGGGGGGGGGCAGGGTACGATGGACCAGTTTATGGCGCCAAAGTTGGCGAAGAGGGAGTTGCAAGCCGCCATTGCGAAGTTCGTGGTGATGACCGACAGCTCCTTCCGCGTCGTCGACAATGACGCGGTAAGGATTGTCTAGTTCATTGTGCGCATGCTTGCCGTTAAACAAGCTCATGGAGTATGTTGTATGTCAACACACTCTCCCCACACAACACGACCCACCCACCCACCCACCCCACCCACACCACGCCCCCACCAAATTCCTCATGTTGGCCTCTTGTGTCACCTCCTTACATTCGCTTCGCTATCCCGTCCCCCAGTTCAAAGAAATGCTCACATTGGCCAACCCTCTCTGCGGGAATCCAAATGTCCTTCCATCTCGCTGGACGGTTGCCCGTGACGTGACGAGGTACGCCGACATGGCACGGGCATTGGCCAAGGCCGAGCTGGAGCTGGCGGGAGGAGGAGGTATTGCCATTGTTCAGGGTGTGCTTCACCACTGACATATGGTCGTCAGTGACGAAGCGCAGTTACATGGTCGTGACTGCGCACTGGATCTCGCCCGACTGGCAGCTGCGACAGGCCACCCTCGATTTCGGGGAGATGTCGGCGGGCACACGGGGGCAGACATCGCGAAGCGGTTTGAGGAGGTGGTCAATGCATGGAGGTTGGTGGGGCGTTGTCATGGTATCACCACCGACAACGCCTCGAACAACGATTCGGCCATCAGGGAGCTGTCCGATGACGTTGCCCGCTTTCCACTCATTGCTAAGGACATGTGGTTCAGGTACGATGTGTACAGGCTTCTGCATGTGCTTCTCCATGTTTTGTTATGTGCATGGGAATGATAGCAATGGCAGCATTTGCATTGGCGTACGAGGCATGGGCATGCATGTGCATGGCCGCATGGGAATGCTTATGTACTCAACCTTGCCGAGTGTGTGGCCCGTACGTTCCACTCAGGTGCATGGCGCATGTACTGAACCTTGCAGTCCAGAAAGCGCTCGCTGTGGACACGGTTAAGGAGGCCCTGAAGCGCATCCGTGACATGGCCACATTCGTTGGCCTGTCACCTAAGCGCATGGCGCGCTTCAGGAAGGAGCTGAAGGATTCGTATCCTGCATTGCGGGACCTTAAGCTGGTGCTGGATTGCGATACTCGCTGGGGGTCCACTTTCGCCATGGTGGCACGTGCTCTTCGTCTTCGTCGGCCATTGACATCGCATTTCGCGAACGAGCAGGTTAGTGACACATATGAACTTGGGGGTTGTGTCAAGCACCGTGGCCACCACCAGTTCTTGCCTTCATTTCCTCAACCATACATGTGAAGTGCTCCATACTTGCATGCTTTCACAGCACCACAACCTTCCACCCCCCCAACCCCTTTCTCCATCCACCCCGACTTGCCTCTCTGCCATCCCTCTCCTTAACAACAGGGCACGACCAAGGAAGAGAAAGAGAAGTACGCATCTTTGCGCATGACGGATGATAACTGGGCGGCCCGGCCCGGCCCATGCTCATCCCTAGAGGAGACCTGCTGTCGCATCCTCGTGCCCATGTTCAACCTCTGTCTCTCTCTGTGTCTGACCTCTCCACCTCCCTTGATTCCACCAGATCCTAGTGACGTTGGTCTTTATAAGCACTCTCTCTTTGGTTCCATTCACACTCATGCTCTTCTTTCCCTCTACTTCTTTCCCTATCGCTCCTCTCCCTCTTCCCCTCTCTATCTACCAGATCCCAGTGTTACTGGTGTTTATAAGCACCTCTCCCTCCGCTCGCATTCACGCTCATGCCCTTCTTCCCCCCTTGCCCTCTCCCTGTTTCTTCCCTCTCCCTGTTTCTTCCCTCTCCCTGTTTCTTCCCTCTCCATGTTATCTCCCTCTCCCAGTTTCTTCCGTCCCTGTTTCTTCCCCTCTCCCCGCTTTCTCCCTCTCCCTGTTTCTTCCCTCTCCCTGTTTCCTCCCTCGCCTTGTTTCCCTCCGGCCCAACTCCTCTGAAATTTACCAGATTCTAGTGGCACTGGTATTATAATCACTCTCCCAGCTGTTGCTGAGACCCACTGGCCAGCATCGTGGGTGTTTGGTCACTTCGAGGTGCGATACAGCATCACAGGCATCCCCAACGGGGTGAGTCTCGTATTCTTGGAGGCTGGGGAGACGATGGAGCCGAGGGTTTGTGCGACGAGTAAGCAGTTGGGCAGGAAGCGGCAAGGGGGACAAGAGGACAAGGGGGAAGCAGTGGCAAGGTGGAGGAAAGGAGGAGGAGGAAGAGAGGACGAGGAGACAGTCTGAGGGAGGTGAAGGACGAGAGGAGGCGGTGGCAGGGGCTGGCGTGTCAGCCGGTACGGCTCACCTCCATCCTACCAGCCTGAAGCCAGGCCAGCTGCTGGCTAGGCGCAGCACTGCTCAGGACAAGTCGGCTTGTCTCAGACGCTTGTTCATGGCTCTGCCTCTGAACTGGTGCTCGTAGTGAGTGTGGTTTATTGTGTCGAGAATTATGGTGCTTATTGCTTGAAAGCGTCCTTCATGTGATGCTGCGAATGCGTACCACTCCTTGCATTTTCACCTACCCCTTCCCCTCCCCTCCCCTTCCATTTTGGCGCTTCTCAATGGTGTGGCAGAAAGAATGTGAGCGTTCCTTCTTTGTGTGCAATGCCATCAGCTCCCCGTTCAGCAGTACACCTCTTTTTTCCTTGCTCCCTCCGCCAAACTCCCTTCCCTTTCCCACACCAACAGTACCCTGCCTTAGACCAGTCAAGTGGAGCCCATCTCATTGCTGCGTCACACAGGCGACAACATGGCAGACCATAGGATGCAGCAGCAGCAGCATCAGTGGTGGCAATGAAGGCGGTTAGCCGTGAGTGCATGGAGGAGGGCAGGAGCGAGGCATGGCAGGGCGGAATGAGGCAGTAGATGGAATGGATTCGAGAGTGTGATATTGTGTTATGCGTCGCAGTGGTGCATGCACGTCTTCAGGTGGCTGTGTTGTCCTGCACAACAGCGTCGCATGCCTCGCTTCAGATCAGAAGAATATGACGGTTCTCCTGCACTGCTACAGTATCATGTATCTTCACCACTGTCATCGCGCCTGTTCTCCTCCCATTTAAACGGATTATTAACTCACTTTATCCTACATACCTTCTTGAAAACAACTTGCTTACTATCAAACCACCTCCATCTATCCCCCTTCTTCCTGTATCTCCTAATCTCCCCCTCATCACCCCCAACCCCCCTCTACCCCAAACAACCCCAACTCCCTTCTGCTTTCTGAACCCAATAACACACCTCGCGCGCTTTCCGAGCCCCCTTCACCCCCATCCGGCCCGACATCCCCCCCAATTCCAGCCAAGCATTAGCAACATAGCGTTCGCATTTGCAAACAACTCCTCCCCTCCTTTCAGCATCACCTGCACCAGTACCGGCTGCTGTCACCACATTCCCCCTTCTTGTCTCAACCCCCCTCCTCGTCTCACTGCCCATCCTCGCCTCACCCCCTCTACTCCTCTCATTCTCATTCTCATTCTCTCACCCCCCGTCCTCGTCTCCCTCCCCCTCCTTATCTCACTCCCCCCCTCTCCTCTGCTCCCGTCTCTCCATGTAAACCCTCCCCCATCCGTCCCCCCACCACACATGCCTCCCTTTTCTTCTTGGAGGTTGGTTGATTGCGGTAGCAGAATGGGGCCACATGCACTTCAATCGACATGGCATGGAGGGAGGTGAGGTGATGGTGGAGAGGTCACAACAAGAATGGCTGGTTTTGGGATAATCATCATACTAAGGTCTTCAGCTTATGTTGGGGGTATTTCACATGCGATCTACATGAGCGGATCGTATATGTGTGCGTTTATTTGCGGGACAGTTGTGCAAGCACACCTTATCCCACACTGCATTCCCAGAACGCATCTTAGTGCTTATCTCATACCTACCGCGCACTCATGGCTTCCCGTCTCTCACGCCATTTACCCTGTCTAATGCTGAAGAGATCTCGTGGGCATTGTTAAGCCCATCGATGTATTGTGATGTGTGATGGCACACAATGACCTGAGGTGAGGAAGGGTAGGCCGTTTGCATCACTTGTTTTTTTCAGGTGTGATGCAGGTCTTCCTCTCATGGACACGCCACTCAGATTCACTTCTCCCATTTGCAGGAATTTAACTCCTCTCCCTTACCTCCAAGATGCCTGACATCCGCCCTCCTCGATCTCTCACCTGTTCGCCTTCATAGTGATTCCCTCCAAGGTCGCACGTCTCCCTACTGCTAGGCTTGCTGTGACGTCTCCAAACGACTTCACGTCACCCTCACATAGCACCGCTCCTGTCCGCTCTTGTAACTCTTGTGTGCCTCCTCTTCGTGGTCGCCCTTCACCTTCAGTTCGCCCCTGGCAGAAAAACACTTTCCAGGCAAAGTCAAACCCTCCACCCAACCTCGTTGGAATTTATCCTCGTCCACCCGTGACGCACTGCACATGTATCTGATCTGAGATGCTCCACTCCACGACCTTGCTGTCAAACCCCTGTTCATCCACCACTTCCTTGGTGGAGTTCACACACTGTCCTTTGTGTTTCCCTCTCAGCCCACTCGCCCAGCCTCCACCACCCACTATTACAGCAAATGAGAAGCTGCTGCCTGCTGCCATTCACAGCAAGCTGCTAGGGAGGAGCGGTGTGAGACAATGAGGGGCAAGGGGTGATTTTGTGGCGGAAATATGGCAATATTCTGCAAGCAGGGATGCCTGGACGCAGCAGCATATGTCACATCTCCACTCCCCGTCTCCCATGCAACCACAGACCCTCTTCTTCTCCCTGCTTCACCTCTGCCCTCCGTCCTATGCAACCAGTCCAGCCAACAGAATGCACTCGAAACCTCCTATAGCAAGCCGGTTCCACTCATGTGGACCACCATTGATCAGGGACATTCACTATGAATGAAGTGCTAATACAATACATGGATAGATGTAAGGTATATTTTGAAAGTCATGTCACATGGTCCCTTCCGATGTTAATGGAGGGATTTTTTTGCTACATTACCAGTTGTGCTAATTTGGACAAGAACATGAGTGCACACTGTCACAAACTCTACACACTACACCCTCAGTTTCCGTTTCCCCAATCACGTGGATGGACCCTATGCAATATATAGCCCCAGGGCAACCTACTAAAATTAAGCGCACCACTATTCTATGCATCACTCCTCCGCATGCATGGCCCCCCCCATTCTTCACTCCCCTTATCTACACGTCTCCTCAGTGTCCCCTAGACAGTCACAGTAAACCCGTGTCACATTACCAAACCAACCTATACGCCGACGCACATCATCATTATGCAGATGAGTCCCTTCTGGCGCCCAGAGAGAAATAAGCTTGGTCAGGCCAATCAGCTGCCGCAGCCCGTCATCTGTGACTGCCGTGCCATTCAGACAAAGGATTTCAAGCCCTGTTAGCAACCCCACATGTACCATGCCTGAACTGGTCACACCCTTGCATTCGGAAAGCCACAGCAATTTGAGAGAGGAGAGACCAATCAAGTGTGGCAGACCAGCATCGGTCACCTTGGTGCTCCAGAGATTAAGGTGTCTGAGACTGGTCAAGGACGCAATGCCATCCAAGCCACTGTCTGAGACGACTGTAGATTTAAGGTCTAGCATTTCCAGCCGCTGCAGCCTATAGAGGTGCTTGATGCCCTCTGCACTGAAGCCCGAGCTAGAGTTCAGGTCAACGCTTGTCAGGTGGGTCATCGTGGACACATGGCCGAGCATGGCGTCTGAGAGGCCGTGGAGATTCTTCAGGACCAAATTGGGTTTCTGTGATGCTCGTTTGATTGCCTGGTGTTAATTAGTGAAGTGGGTAAGCATGCGAACGGGAGAGATGATCATTAGATTACGTGAAACAGCGCATGCACATAGCACTCACCTGCCATGCAATGTTTTGATCACCTTCACTCTGCCAGGGATAGCTACGGAGACAGGAGATATAAAGCATGCATGCTCGCGAAGCACTTACCGCCAATGCTTTCTTTCGATCACCTTCACTCTGCCTGATTTCCAGCCGAATATTCAACTTCCGATTTTGTGTCCCCCACTGTTCCTTGCAGGCTGCCAGTTCTTCCATGCCACGTGGCAAATTCAACTCCTGCACCTCCATCCTCCTCTGGTCCTCCCTTGCACACTCCGCTGGCATTTCGTGCATTCTCTTTCTACTCGTCCCTCCTACATCCAATGCCCTACTACTCTCAGCCCATTGCTCTGGCATAGTGCCCTTGTGTTCTGCCAACTCTTTTTTCACCGCTGCCAATTCCCCCTGCACTGCTGTCAGCATGCTCCGCAACTCATCCACCTCCTCCTTGTGTGCAGCCAGCTCCTCTCTCACTGCTGCCAGCACCGCCTCTTGAACTATGTCATTCAGTGCACTCATCATTCTCTCAGTAGCCATACGCTCCTCTGACTCTCCTTCAATGGCTTTTCTTCAATGACTGATCCTGGCATTCAACCGCCTCCCGCACTGCAGCCTGACGAAGTAGAGAAGGGCTGGGAACGGTAGGGTGGGGTCGGGTCGGGTGCAAAGAGGAAGATGGTGATTGATGCACACACAAAGGAAAACACTCGCATGCGCATGAGGGACGAGGCATAATGTGACTAGGTGGAGACGAGATGAGGAGACGTTGGGAGAAAAATATTCACAGAGGGGTGGCACAGAGAGGGGTGGCACAGAGAGGGGTGGTACACAGAGGGCTGGTGTGTGGTCAACATGGGGTGGCTCGAGAGTCACAAGGCTGGGTCGAGCCCGCCGGCTTGCCCACAGCCTCCTCCGTTCGGGCATTAGATTCGAACCACATCCCAGACACGCACACACTTTGGCTCGCAGCAAGTCTGGCTCGGCTCGGCCATGGCTCACGCGTAGAGCCAAAGTCGATCCAGGCCCACTATTACACAAAGCGACATGCAGCGGGTAACGGCGAGCCTGGATCTCCTCGGGGCATTTCTCATGCACGCATAGAGCACACCACAGTAGTATGGAATGAGAGACTCGAAGGGGCTGGCAGGGGTCCTCGGCACACAGGAGAGTGGTTGTGTGTGTGGTTCTAGGGATGACCTGGAGCTGAACTAGCTACTGTTCAGACAATGTGACAGCGAAAGCCATCCTGCTCGTTGGTGGTCAGAGGGTAGGCCAGTCAGAAGTAGTTTTAACACAAGCTATGCAAGTCATAAGCTAAGTTAGGTCATTCACAGAACTAGGACCTCACAAGCTAGGCAATTCACAAGCTAGGTCACATACACGATAGGTCGGGTATGACCTTAATCAGTCACACGCTAGGTCTTACAACCTAGGTCACTCACAGGCTTGGGCAGTATAGACTAGGTTCAGTCATAATAAAGTCAGCAGGTTAGGTTGTGTGACGCAATCAAAGTTGAAACAAGTAGTAGAAAGGTCGCTTACCTTGAGGCCTTGTTCTTCAAATCCACCAAACTTTTGTCCGTGTGCTCGCTCGTGCGTGCACACTCGAGATACCACTCGATGTAGTCAAGCAAGGCCTCCATTTGCCCTGGCGTGAGGTATCCGGTAGCTATGAATGGTAGTACCTGCATAACGGATCTATGCTCATACGCTTGATAGTTTGCGCCCTTGGCAAAGTAGTCGCCCGATGGTAACCGCATGCACCCTCCTCTTAGGTTGGTTCGCAAGTACTTCAGACGCTTATCTAGAATCTTCTTCCTTACGAGATCCTTGGGGTACATAGCCCGCATACAATCCACTATGTGCTCGAATATCCCTAGATCGGACTGGTGCATGATGTCGGGTAAAACGGCCAAGTAAGGGTTGAGTATAGGGATCGACTCCCAACGCCAACCCCAAAGGAAACACTGCTCAAGTGGCATGGAAGGGGCATGGGGGGGGAGCAAGGGGCATGTAGGGACAACAAAGGGGAAGAGAGTGAGAACAGTGGGGTGAGAGGGGCAGCAAGGGGCAGAGAGGAAGGACAAGGGGCAGAGAGGGATAGAAAGGGGCTGACCGGAACAAGAGGGGGCAGAAAGGGAAAGCATGGGGCATGAAGGGAAAGCAAGGGGCAGAGAGGAAGGACAAAGGGGCAGAGCGGGAGTGCATGGGGGTGAAAGGGAAAGCAAGGGGCAGAGAGGAAGGACAAAGGGGCAGAGGGGGAGTGCAGGGGGGTGAAAGGGAAAGCAAGGGCAGAGAGGAAGGACAAGGGGCAGAGCGGGAGTGCATGGGGGCGAAAGGGAAAGCAAGGGGCAGAGAGGAAGGACAAAGGGGCAGAGCGGGAGTGCATGGGGTTGAAAGGGAAAGCAAGGGGCAGAGAGGAAGGACAAGGGGCAGAGAGGGAGTGCAGGGGGGTGAAAGGGAAAGCAAGGGGCAGAGGAGGAAGGACAAAGGGCAGAGAGGGAGTGCAGGGGGGTGAAAGGGAAAGCAAGGGGCAGAGAGGAAGGACAAGGGGCAGAGCGGGAGTGCATGGGGGCGAAAGGGAAAGAAAGGGGCAGAGAGGAAGGACAAAGGGGCAGAGCGGGAGTGCATGGGGTTGAAAGGGAAAGCAAGGGGCAGAGAGGAAGGACAAGGGGCAGAGAGGGAGTGCAGGGGGGGGAAAGGGAAAGCAAGGGGCAGAGAGGAAGGACAAAGGGCAGAGAGGGAGTGCAGGGGGGTGAAAGGGAAAGCAAGGGGCAGAGAGGAAGGACCAAGGGGCAGAGCGGGAGTGCATGGGGTTGAAAGGGAAAGCAAGGGGCAGAGAGGAAGGACAAGGGGCAGAGCGGGAGTGCATGGGGGCGAAAGGGAAAGCAAGGGGCAGAGAGGAAGGACAAAGGGGCAGAGCGGGAGTGCATGGGGTTGAAAGGGAAAGCAAGGGGCAGAGAGGAAGGACAAGGGGCAGAGCGGGAGTGCATGGGGGCGAAAGGGAAAGCAAGGGGCAGAGAGGAAGGACAAAGGGGCAGAGCGGGAGTGCATGGGGTTGAAAGGGAAAGCAAGGGGCAGAGAGGAAGGACAAGGGGCAGAGCGGGAGTGCATGGGGGCGAAAGGGAAAGCAAGGGGCAGAGAGGAAGGACAAAGGGGCAGAGCGGGAGTGCATGGGGTTGAAAGGGAAAGCAAGGGGCAGAGAGGAAGGACAAGGGGCAGAGCGGGAGTGCATGGGGGCGAAAGGGAAAGCAAGGGGCAGAGAGGAAGGACATAGGGGCAGAGCGGGAGTGCATGGGGTTGAAAGGGAAAGCAAGGGGCAGAGAGGAAGGACAAGGGGCAGAGCGGGAGTGCATGGGGGTGAAAGGGTTAAGCAAGGGGGAACTATTTGGAGCATAGAGGGGGATCAAGGGGCAGAGGGGAAGAAAATCTCTAACCTTGAGGGGGTGTGTTGACAATGTTTCGTCGGATTCGGGCTTGATGGCCTTCTCCACAATTGCTCGCACAATGGACGATTGCTCGTAAGGCGTACGAGGGTCTATCCGGTCTTGGTACATGGCTTGCCTCTTCTTTGACACTTTGCACAAGGAGCAAGGGTACTCGGTGCTCCCCGACTTTGTGCATGTAATCTTGCACGACTCGGGATAGTCACTAACGTAGGCATAGAGAGATGGCCACACGTTAATGTCTTCCCCCACGTGATTCTTCATCATGATGCCGGTATATGACGCTTGCTTCAAAGGAGCCAACACCAAGTCCATGATGCTATTGAACACATGCATCTTGTCGAGGGCGCCGTACTCTCCTGGAAATTGTGGAAGCAACGCCAACAAGATGTGCCCGTAGGGTTTCCACCGCCCATCCTTGTCGATGTTGGCGAGGGTCAAATACACCGGATGGCCTTTTGCTTTCCCACGCCCATCCATGTGGGTTTCGTCGCTTGCCAAGATAAGACCAACAACCACTCCTTTTGGGGCAACCTTCCGCACCTCTTTTTGTAGGGTTTCCCACCATACTCCACTCTCCGGTGTGGAATAAACCCGCTCCGTCCCCTTGTACAACGTAGTTGCTTCCATGGCCATCCTCTTTCCCAACTCCGGATGTTTCAAGAGGTCTTGTAGAGCGACAATACCGTCACAATGCCAATATTCCAACCACGACTTGTTTGCCGAACGGATCAACTTTCTTTGCCACTTGCGATGTGCATCCGGGGTCTTCGCATCGGCATGACGTTGCACATCTCTTACTGATTTCTGTTGGTGCAACCCTACGGTGTGCACTCGGCTTGTTGTCCGTGTGCGTGAATGTGTGTGTGTATGGAATGGTATGAGGGCATGGGGTAATATATATTTCATACTTATAATTGTGTGTGAATGTTGAGTCATGATGTCGAGTGTGTGTGTCGAGTCAATAGCGAGTTATCGCTAGACGCGTGTTACGCGGTCGTTTGTGTCTCGCGCGCGGTTTCTATTTTGTCGTGCGCGGTTTCTATTTTGTCCTGTGTCGAACGTTCGGCGTGTCGCAGGTGTGTGCAGCAGACCCATCAAGAACTCAAGGATGAGTTTGTGATGAAGAGCCCGAGCCTTGGTGTCAAGCCTCAAGTGATTTCGAAGCTTGCCAAAAGGGTACACCTCAAGATATTGAAGATATTTACATTACTTTGTGTAGTGTAACATTTCACTTGGTGTAGGCCCTAGTGAAGGGTAGTTTCGAGACCCTTCGTGGTTGGGGACAGTGTGGCACTGTTCCACATCACTGTACCTCGGCTCTTGGGGTTTGTAGGAGCTGGGAGTCATTCCCAACTCGTAAATCTTCCTATCTTGTGTTCTAAGACTATAGTGGCTGCCATAGTACCGTTCGTTCAAACCGACGCTGTGTCGTCAATTCTTTATCAAATCGTGCAATCTAAATTGCTAATTGTAGACGACGTGAAGACGCTCCAGATCCAATTTGAATCAAGTCATTTGCAGCTGTGAGCAGAACGCTATCAACGTTTGAAGCCGCTGTGCAGAAATCCGTCTGTGCACTCTATCTTTCGTTTTAGGCACATTCAAGCCTATTGTGACTATAACAATTTCCATCCGGCAATTTGCTCAAGATCGGCGCCCGCTTGACTCAGTATCTCAAGAAGATGGTTATTCTCCTTTTGTGACAAGCGGTTTGAGAGGATCCAATGTGCAAGCGCGTCGGTAAAGATAAACGGGGGGATGGGTGGTATATCCTCTCCCCCACCTCCCTCGACGCCCCCCTCCCTCATTCCCATTTCCGTATCGCTTATATCATGCAAGATTACATCGTCATCACATGGGAGGCTATCATTTTCACTAAACCTTTCCAAACTTGAACCGCTAGAATGAGAAGAACAAGGGGAAGAAGGCAGGGGAGTGTCGTGTTCAACGTGTGGGAGTTCAATTTGAATAACATCAGGGGGCGTGGGTGTTGCACTGCCTGAAGCGGGGGGAGAGGGATCCAGTGGACGGATTTCTGGCCGTGCACGTTTGGACGCGCTAGGGTCAGTTGACGTTCCTGCTGGCCTAATCCCTGACGGTTTGCCTCTGCATTTGTTTCCTTTAAGGTGCCCAGAGAGCGCTTGTCGCGAGTTGAAGACGGCGTCCTTGCACCGAGGACACGTGATACTCATTCTGAAATGAGATACAAGAAAAAGGGTCAGAGGGAGTATGAAGAAAGCAGGAGAAGGAAGGGAACGTCATAGCGAGTCGGGGATGTGCAGGAGGAGCCCGGGAAGGTCAGATGCATAGGGTGGACGGCAGGAGGACGAAGGGACAGTCTGAGGGTTTGAGGCGAGGGACAGGCAACGGACAGAGAGTGACAGAGAGAGAGGGAACGGCCAGAGAGTGTGTGAGAGAGAGAGGGAACGGACAGAGAGTGACAGAGAGAGAGGGGACGGACAGGGAGTGACAGAGAGAGAAGGAACGGACAGAGAGCGAGAGAGAGAGAGAGGGATCAGACAGAGAGTGAGAGAGAGAGAGGGAACGGACAGAGAGTGAGAGAGAGAGAGAGAGGGAACGGCCAGAGCGTGAGAGAGAGAGAGCGGGAACGGCCAGAGCGTGAGAGAGAGAGAGAGGGAACGGCCAGACCCCTCGAGAGAGAGAGAGGGATCGGCCAGAGCGTGAGACAGAGAGAGAAGGAACGGACGGTGAGAGAGAGAGAGGAGGGACGTAGAGCGGGAGAGAGGGACAGGACGGAGTGAGAGGGGGTGAAAGGACGGTGTGAGAGAGGGTGAAAGGACGGAGAGAGAGAGAGAGAGAGAGAGAGAGAGAGAGAGAGAGAGAGAGAGAGAGAGAGAGAGAGAGAGAGAGAGAGAGAGAGAAAGAGAAACCCTGAACGGACAGAGTGTGTGAGAGGTGCGAGGAAACGGACACCCAATGTGAGAAGTGCGAGGGAACGGAGCGCGTGTGTGAGAAGAGAGAGGGAACGGACGGAGAGATAGAGTGAGGGACTGGACGGTGAGAGAGATACAGGAGGGACGTAGAGCGGGAGAGAGGGACAGGACGGAGTGAGAGAGGGTGAAAGGACGGAGTGAGAGAGAGAGGGAACCGACGGACTTGAGAGTGAGGGATTTGACGGACTGAGAGAGAGAGGGAACGGACGGAGAGCGTGTGTGAGAAGAGAGAGGGAGACGGAGAGATAGAGTGAGGGACAGGACGGTGAGAGAGAGAGAGGAGGGACGTAGAGCGGGAGAGAGGGACAGGACGGTGTGAGAGGGGGTGAAAGGACGGTGTGAGAGAGGGTGAAAGGACGGAGAGAGAGAGGGTGAAAGGACGGAGAGAGAGAGAACGGACGACGTGAGAGTGAGGGAACAGACGGACTGAGAGAGAGGGAACGGACGGAGAGAGAGAGAGGGAACGGACGGAGAGCGTGTGTGAGAAGAGAGAGGGAACGGACGGAGAGATAGAATGAGGGACAGGACAGTGAGAGAGAGAGAGGAGGGACGTAGAGCGGGAGAGAGGGACAGGACGGAGTGAGAGAGGGTGAAAGGACGGAGTGAGAGAGGGTGAAAGGACGGCGAGAGAGAGGGTGAAAGGACGGAGAGAGAGGGAACGGACGACGTGAGAGTGAGGGAACAGACGGACTGAGAGAGAGGGAACGGACGGAGAGAGAGAGAGGGAACGGACGGAGAGCGTGTGTGAGAAGAGAGAGAGAGATAGAGTGAGGGACAGGACGGTGAGAGAGAGAGAGGGGGGACGTAGAGCGGGAGAGAGGGACAGGACGGAGTGAGAGGGGGTGAAAGGACGGTGTGAGAGAGGGTGAAAGGACGTTGATGCCGAAATGTGCGGAGCTAGACACACGGGGTATGACCGGCGGCGGCCCAAAGGACACACCTTCCAAACGTGCTGATGTCTCGGCAGTAGGTTGTTGCGCCGCTCCCGCAATCGCCGTTTCCAGTGACGCCGGTGTCGTCGCTGGAACTGCCGGGTCAACCGTGTCGCCGAACGGGAGATCTTCTAGTCGCGAACGACGCCGCGTTTGCGCCGATGCAGCCGCTTCAATGTCGGCGCAAATCCCGCGATATAAAGTGTCGCCGAAGCCGCAGCTGATGGCAGTGTCACCGCTGTTTGCGTTGTTGCGAAGGCCTGCGGTGTCGCAGATGCGTGCGATCTGGCCACTGCTTGTGATGTCCCACTTGCTTGCGAAGTCAGCGCTGCTTGGGAGTGCGGCGGAGAGCGCGATGTCGCCGCTGCTTGCGATGTCGCCGCTGCTTGCGATGTCGCCGCGGCTTGCGATGTCGCCGCGGCTTGCGATGTCGCTGCTGCCGGCTAACCCGCTCCAACCCAGAGTCGTGGCGCACTCTGACGCCGTAGCGCTCGGCGCCTAGGCTGTTCTCGACGATGTCAGTCGCCCCTCTTCCGCCGTGGACGGCTCTGGTCGCGAGGTGACGACTGTCTTCCCCGCCACAAGTGACGATGGTTCCTGCAGATCGAGTTGACGTCGATGCAGGCGCAGCTGCACGTGTCGCTAAAGATATCTACGCAGCAATAGCAAGCTGCATCATCGTAGACCCTGGCACGTCAGCCACGCTAATGGGTGCAACAGATCCTACTACAGCATCATAGTCCGACAACGCTTTCTAAAAAATAATGCAGCCGGGTGATGATAGATGTGGTTGAATGTGGAGTGAAAGCTAGCGACCGTTGTGTCAGGAGAGATGTGGTTGAATGTCGTGTGTAGAACCCACAAATTCAACATGGCGATCGGTTCAATTCTGGATCGAAGCAGAACAGGCATGCTTCTAGAATGTGCAGTGCGGTTCAACACGGTAATCCGACAAAACTTCAGAATGTGAAAATCGCCCAATCGGAAAGCATAGCGCTGCGCGTTCCAACGCGCGGCAAGGATACCGAAAATGGAGGGAGGATTTGAGGCAAGTAACGGCTAGTTGGTAGCGCGAATATACCAGGTCCACAGTAATTCACACCTTAGACCATGTAAGTGCTACAAGTCATATAGAAAAGACCACAGTTGTTAATATATGTCTCAAAAATGGGGTACAGCTACACAAATGTGAATGAACATAAGCAATCTAAACCAGCCATCGCAGAAAACTACAAAAAAAACAGAAATGATAAAGGATACTGCTGATATGAAATATTGCAATTGTCAAAGTCGCATAAATGGTGAACAGAAATAAAACATTATAGCACCAGCAGAAGTATGAGAATCATCAAGACTGCACCATAATATAGAAACTTGCAATTCAAAAGTGTAACGATTGGTAATCGCCGAAACTGAAACACGACCAACTAATACTGGAAAACGCCACGTAGGCGTGGTGTATGGCACCCAAAAAACGCGTGCAACTGGTAAACGCATGAAGGCGATGGTTTACGGGAGGGACAAACAGTGGATTTGTAGTGAAAAGAGTCTGACGTCAGCCAATCAAAAACCCACCATGTAAACCCCTGTACATGGCGACGTTGTGAGCATCAGGAAAGTCGCCAGAAACAACACGCCCCGTATACACCCGTTCAACCTCCTTCACGACAATCCACCGTCAGTTTACCCACAAAACCGCGTCTGTCAATGACCCTCGTGAACCATCCTTTACAATGCAACATCGAACCCTAAAAATGACCCCCCCCCCCCCCCCCCCCTCCAAACACTGTCCGTTTTACATTTTTGCGATGAGGGAGCAGCAACACAAAATTGTTCCTTTTCTTTCCTGGCCGGTGATCGCCGCGTTACAACTTCCACGCTGCTGCTAAATCACTCACCTCCCGCCTCAGTGCTCTCACCTGCCGGCAAGCAAACACCACAGCAGAGCGGACACGACTAGAACAGACCAGACGCGACCAGATCCGAGCAGAGCAGAAAAGGGCATAACGCCGGACCACCAGGGCATGACACGTCCACACCCCAAACACACAGCGGACTGCAGCATCCCTAAATTGTTCTGACCCGAATTGGACCCCCGGGTTACTCCGGGGCAACATTCAGGTCACCTCAGAAACTGACCCAAAAGTTACTTCTGGAACTGAGACTTTAGGCTAGTCTGAGGTCAGATGGCCTAACCCATAAGTGACTTTCGGGTCAGGTACGGGTCAGGTACGGGTCAGGTACGGGTCAGGTTTTGGCGGGAAAAGTCCGGTAGGGGTCAGGTACAGGTTAAGATTTGGCGGGAAAAGTCAGGTACGGGTCAGATTTGGGTCAGTTTCGGGTCACACGTGGCCAGCGCATGGCCTGATTATATCCCCGTTACAGTGTGCTTTTTTTTGTAATAAGCATTTTTTGTTGAAATTATATAATATATATTTCACTACATAACAACAGAACATCAAATAACAACTTTAGCATGACAACGTAATAAACAGGGCCTTGTGCAGTTGCCCCAGAATATATAAATCACTGCACAGCTAAAATATCCAGACAACACAAAACCAACACACATTAAAGGGTCAAAGGCGTTACACATGCGATAACGCCAGCTAACGAATATAAAAACCAGAACAATCATGTAGCAATTATCACCTTGTAATTTCGAAAAATCTCCTTCACTGCTCTGTGCCCCAAAATAACAGCAGGCATGGCATAATCAAAATAATCTTCACGTGCTTGTTTTCATGTCAGGTTGTTATAAGGGGCGAAAAATGAAGGCGACGCGGAAGTGGTGGCGACGCGGCATAGTTTTTCCAAATTAATCTTCACAACATATATGCACCTGCATGTAGAGACTTAAAAAAAAAACGGACATGAGACAAACTGACAGTTTAAAAAACGGCGGAAACAACCAACACGAACATCTATCGACGTTGACACAAACAACCTCCAATACCTTCACTCTCTGTCCTGCGAGTAAGCAAAAGAAACGTGATGCAAGAAATGTAGATTGCAAAGTTAAGAAAAAAAAACAACAATCTGCAAGGGAAGGTGACTTCATGGATCGCAACGGGGGAAAGATAGGAGATACGGTATTGCAAAGTAAAGAAAACGAACCAACAATCTGCAAGGATAGGTGAACTTATAGATCGTAACCCCCAATCCCCTTCCAACAACCCACACCTTTCCAGCTCTTCCAACCCATCAAGGCAGTGCGCTACAGCATGCTCCTCCCCTCGCCCTACCCCGTTCCCCTCCCTCATTGCTTTCCTCATTGCCTCTTCCTCCTTCCCTACCCTCCATTCCACCACCCAAAATCCCACACCTTTCCACCTGTTCCAGCGCATCATGGCAGGGCGCTATGGTGTGCACTGCAGCTCTCTCCACCCTTCCTTCTCTACTGCATGCTCGTTGATTCCCCTCCCTTTATCCCCCCTCCCCTCCACTCCTGCCCTTCGTCGCACCACTTCCTAGCGCATCATGGCAGGGCAGGGGTGCAACAGAGTGCACTTCCCCGTGTGAATCAAGACGAGCAAGCCAACACATACAGCGACGTCCATCCCTTGCATTTCAAAGATTTCTTGTCATAGTCCCTCGTCAAAAGCCCCTGGCGAGTCTCCTCGTCCAAATTTATTGTCAAATTTCCTCCTTATAAGCTGTCATACTGAAATCATCTCTGTGCCTCTTGCAGCATTCACAATCTTCCCCACCCCACTCACCTCCTCCCACCTCCCACCCCACTCACCTCCTCCCACCCCACTCACCTCCTCCCACCCCACTCACCTCCTCCCACCCCACTCACCTCCTCCCACCCCACTCACCTCCTCCCACCCCACTCACCTCCTCCCAACCCACTCACCTCCTCCCATTCCACTCATCTCCTCCCACCCCACTCACCTCCCCCCACCCCAATCATCTCCTCCCACCCCACTCATCTCCTCCCACCCCACTCACCTCCTCCCACCCCACTCAACTCCTTCCACCCCACTCACCTCCTCCCACCCCAATCATCTCCTCCCACCCCACTCATCTCCTCCCACCCCACTCATCTCCTCCCACCCCACTCATCTCCTCCCACCCCACTCACCTCCTCCCACCCCAATCATCTCCTCCCACCCCACTCATCTCCTCCCACCCCACTCATCTCCTCCCACCCCACTCATCTCCTCCCACCCCACTCATCTCCTCCCACCCCACTCATCTCCTCCCACCCCACTCATCTCCTCCCACCCCACTCATCTCCTCCCACCCCACTCATCTCCTCCCACCCCACTCATCTCCTCCCACCCCACTCACCTCCTCCCACCCCACTCACCTCCTCCAGTAGTGCCCCGTCCATTCTTCCTACCCTCTCCAACCGTCAGCTGCTCATTCTTTCAACGCTGTCGTGCTATGCCCATCACCTCACCTCATCTCAAATGCTTTCATCCGTCCAGTGTATGAACCAACTTTCCCCCTCCACCTCAGGTCCTCCTCCTCTGCCCGCCATCACCCTCTCGTCTGCTCCCACACCATACCAGCCAAGCAGCAACACTGTTGTCATCGCATCTCCAGGCAGAATCCTTCCCTCTCTTCCACATCACCTACACTGATGTGCTGTCACCCAGTCCCCCACCTTCTCCCCCGTCCCCATGGCCCACTCCCGTCCTGTTCAGCCTATATATTTGCCTCCCCACTCTCGCTCCCAATCTCCCCTCTGCTGCACCTAGCAGCGCCATGCCCTCGCCATAATGGCATGTCCTGGAAGGAGCTGGGGCTGGAGCAGAGATGCGCAGGGGTAGAACAGGTATGGCTACAGTAGCGGCAAGTAGGAATTCAAACTAGTGGGTAGGTCCACAACATATGACGATCATTTTTTAGGAACAGCCATGCTTGTGCGTTTCAACAGGAGTGATGCCACTGCTGCAATTGCCTCTTCCTTCAGCAGGTAGGATACTTCAGTGGTGAGTTGTGGTGACACACGACCTCAGAGGCTAGGAGGGCAAGCTGTAAGCATCACTTCAGGTGCAGCACACACTGAGATTAGATGTTCACAAGGTGCAAGTCTTCATGTCCAGCAAAACATTCAGTTCCATCTCTTCTGGAGCATCATTCCCTTTACCTATGTTGCCGTGCGCCGCCATAGAATGCCAACAGGCAAGGATGAGTGTGATGGAATGGGAGCATGCATGTCCTCTAAACATTTCCTAAACATCAGGCGCAGGATGCTACACGCAGCTATGAAGTTTTGGGCTTTTTCTCGGGCAGCCCAGGAATAAAAAAAACAATGCATGGCCTGCCAAACAATGCATACCGTATCCCGTGAAACTGATTAACTCAGCACTCACCTGCCATGAAAACTGATTCATGAGCTGCCACTCCTTGCAGATTGCCAACTATGGCATGCGCCCAATAAATGCATTGTTACAATACCAAACGATTAACGCACTAAAAACAGTTCGCTCAACACTCACCTCCCATGCAGTCTTCTGAGGGCCTTTACTCTCGATAATCTCCAGCTCAACATTCACCCAAGCCTTGCAGGCTGCCAAGTCCTCCATGGCACGTGGCCATATCAACTCCTGCACCTCCCTCCTCCTCTCCTCCCTCTCCCTTGACAACTCTGCCCTCATTTCATCCTCTCCCTTTCTAACCTGCTCCCTCAGCTCTCTCAATTCCTTTTCCCTTTTTCTCTCAGCCAAATCCATCTGCTCGGCAATAGCGTCTGTGTATTCAGTCAGCTTCGCCTTCACTGCCGCCAACTCTGCTGCCAGCTCTCTCTCCCTCTCCTCCACCTGCCCTCTCATCTCCCTCATCTCCGCCACTCGTCTCCTCTCAGCCTCCTCCAGCTGCGATGTACTTGAATGCTTGTGCTCACCCAACTCTCCTTTTGCTGTTGCCAATTCCCCCTTCACTGCAGCCAACTCTTCCTTCAATGTTGCCAGCTCACTCCTCTCGCCCACAATACTCAGTGCAAGCCTCAACTCATTCCCCAAACCTTCATTTCTCTTCTCCAGCATCAATGAAAACTCCCCTCTCACCAATGAAAACAGCCCTTTCACTGCTTCAGCTAACTCGTTTGACTCCCCATCTACAGCCATTTGTGTTGCTTGAGGTCAGCCAGAGTCTTCTTCGCTTACCACGGAAGAGGATGGCACTGTGGCATGTCAAAATTGGGTGGAGGTGGACAGATGGAGGTGAACAGGGACTCACACATGAAAAGAAGGAACAAGAGCTCCATCCAGTCCAAAATAGACATGAGCAAGCAGCGGAGTGAAAGCTGGCTATATCCTTCTTTTACTAAAAGCGGTTGAGACTAAGGCCTCGCCTCAACCGTATTACTCAACCAGGCAGGCATCGTCTTATCAAGAATACTTGACTGAAGCGAGGCGAGTAATGCTTGTCGAATAGACAAATGCTCGCTCATTATTCGACAGAAAAGGGTGGGGGAAGAGTCACTTGCGAGTAAGGGCGCATTCCTAGCTTCGGGTCATCCGCTAAAAATGTCATCCGAAATGTTGGGAAGACACGAGCTGCAATGGAGCAGCTCGGGTCACCAACCTGAAATTGTTCACGATTTTTTAAGACAAATATATATAGGGGTACCTGAATTCGCAGCTCTCGACACTGCAATTAACGATCGCCAGAGCAAACTGGCGAGCGATTACGATTCTGCTCGAGCCTCAAATGTGCAATGTTGCACAGAAATTTCAATGTGAAATTTGTCGCAGCGTCTGAAATGTCGCATTGCAGGCTTACGGCGATTTTGCAGGGGGAAATCAAATTTCGTTTACCCTGTTCGCTGAAGCTCGCAAACTCCCGAGGCGGAAGACCGGAAGCTCGAGTCGGAAAACCCGCGGTTCGAGAATTTAATTCGGGATTGTTGTGCAAGCAAGAATGTCCCAGTGGGTAGATTATCACCTTTGGTCTTAGAGGTCGTGGGTTCACCTCTCAGGAGCTGCATTCTCTTTTCTCATTATGCCCAACATGACATTCCCACACTCCACCACACTCACCCACAATGAAGTGTGGTCACAGTTGGCTTTGCCATCTGTCCACTCATCCCATACTCACCTTGCTGGCCCCTATGGTGTGCCACATGCTGCCATGTAGGCTGTTGTTCCAGCCTGGACCACATGTGCAACATGTGGCCTCAGTTGCTAGCTTGGCAAGGTTGGCTAGCCTTGCCCTCAGCTTTGAGGTGCTGCAGCTAGCCTCAAGAGTTCAGCCACATATATGTGGCTTCCTACTTCTCTAGAAATCATCCTTGGCAAAGGACATTGCTCTAGCCTCTCAGGCTTGTACCATCTTCCTACTAAGGATATATTGTTCTTCTCTCATTGTGCCTTAAGTTCACCGATCCTCATTCTACATGCTATCAGAGCCAGGCTTCTAGCTTAGTGAACGTTGCACACTTGATGGCTCAAGTTGAAACGCCTCTCGGTCGGCACACCCTTCCCATCTTGGAACCAGATGGTTCCAACTTCATTGCATGGAAGAAAAAGATCTGCTCTTCAACGTCCTTGGGCTGATCTCCCTCCTTGGAGATCCCAAGGTTGCTTCGCGTCCTTCAATTTCCTCTTCCACAACCAGCGGTGGAGAGGCTACCGAAGGCAACAGCGGTGCAGCCCCTAAAACAGCCCATTCAATTGCTTCGCTGCCAGATGAAGAAAAAGAGGAGCATGCATACTATCTTCTCATGTCGGCCGTCCATCCTCAACTATCGCTCACTCTTGCTCAAGCAAACACGACAAAGGATATGTGGGGATGCATCATGGCGCGGTTCGACTGCATAGGCAACCATGCACAAGTGGCTCTCCTCCGGGATCTCATCACTACTCGAATGGACCCAACAACAAGTCTTCGCTCCTACTTCGATCGAGTTGGAAACCTTACACACCAACTCAAATCTGCCGGCTTCGAGTTACCATCATGGGTGGTGGTAATTTCCATCATCCTCAACCTTCCGGACTCGTTCAAGACTCTTACTGAAACCATTTGCACCGTGAAAGACATCAAGTCTATGACGGTTGAATACCTACAATCACGCCTGCTCGATGCCGATTGGGAGCGATCACAATCTGGTACAAGCCGCAACATGGAGGGTGCATACAACCTCAATTCTCAGCCCTCCCACCCTCTTCGCTCCGGTTCCCGCCAGTCGCCCACCTGCCGTTACTGCAAGAAAACTGGTCACACCATCGACGAATGCTACGAATTGAAGAAGAAGAAAGAGCTTGAAGAAAGCTCTAAACGGGAGAAATCCGTCATCCAGCCTTCGGTGCATGTCTCCACCAGCTCCTCTGCTGAAATTACTCCGACCCCCACACCACCTCCTGCCCCATCAGCCCCTCGGTCTGTACCTGATTCCCAGTACGTTGACATTGCTGTCAGCACCAGCCACCACCCCATTATCTCCTCATGGACTCCTCTCGTTGCTGCTGTCTTCATTTTCACCATCCTCCTTCTCCTCCTCCTCTTCCCTTATGGGGCTCCCTACGCATCGGCATTCACGGCCTCCGCATTCAACATGGACCGGACTTCGTCGTGGCTGGTGGACAGCGGCGCATCCTCCCATATATGCTCGGAGCGTTCGCTGTTTTCGTCTCTCCAGAAGCCAAACGAAGATATCCTTTTTCGTTTTGGTGGTGGAGAGACTTACAAGGTTTTGGGAGTCGGCACGGTGGTGGCTACTCTTCGGTCACCAACATCGGAAACCACCATTCAGCTGGACAACGTTCTATTTCTCCCCTCCTCAGTTCACAACCTGCTCTCTGTACGTGCACTTGGTGCTGCCGGCGTTGCCGTCTCGTTCCCCGCTGCTGGGCGCGTTGTTCTCACAGCTGATGACACTCCTATTGGCGAGGGTTATACCCGCAACAACCTGTTTTATCTTCCACTGCATCATGGGAGTAGTGCTGCTCCTTCTATCAAGCCAACGGCATGTCCAGCCTCCACCACTACCTCCTCGTACCTCTGGCATCGTCGTTTCGGGCATCTCAACATGCAGGACTTGTCAACACTTCATCGGCAGCAGCTGGTCACCGGTCTTCACCTCTCCTCCACCTCGATTCCCCATTGCCTCTCGTGCTATCGTGGGAAACAAACACGTCAACCGTTTGGCGTGTCCCATTCTCGCACCACAGCACCACTCCAACTCATTCACTCCGATATTGCTGGACCGTTTTCATATGGAACTACCCTTGGCGGCACTCGCTACCTTCTCACCTTCATCGACGACTACTCCCGCCACATTACAGTGTATCTCCTACGCCACCGATCGGAGGCACTTTCATGCTTCAAGGCTTATGTCACACGGGTACACAACATGCATTCCCCACACACCATCAAAGCCTTTCGCTCTGACGGTGCCTTGGAGTTCACTTCCAAAGCCTTCACTTCATTCCTTACAGCTCATGGCATTGCTCGCCACCGCTCTACGCCATACACACCTGAGCAAAATGGAGTAGCTGAGCGCGCCAACCGCACTTTACTTGAGATGGTCCGTTCCATGCTACATGATGCACACATGGACAAAGGCTGGTGGGGTGAAGCCGCTCTTACTGCTGCCTATCTCCGTAATCACGCCATTAGTCGGGGTGGTTCAACTTCT